TAGTAGTAATCAGTAATTACTGCACCATGTACTGTGACTGTGCCATTTACTGTACTGCATCTACTGCACCACATGAATAAGTGATTGATTACAATATAATAGATTAGGTATTTATATGAAATAACTTTGAAAAAAAAATTATTTAAAATTATTTTTAATAAGTAATTTTAAAAATAAAATATTTTAAAATATAAAGAATATATTTATAAGTTTAAAAAATATTTTTATTATATATTTATTTAATAAATATCAGTTAAAAAAAGTTTTTATTTTGATAAAGTTTATAATAAATTATAATAAATATTTATTTTTATTATATTTTACTATAATTTCTTATAAAAAATTATTAAAATAAAGTCTTTTTTTAAATAATATTTATTAAATAAATATGTAATAAAAAATTTTTTTAAACTTATAAATATATTTTTTATATCTTAAAATATATTTTTATAAAAATATTTTTAAAATTACTTATTAAAAATATTTTTAAATAATTTCTTTTTCAAAGTTATTTTATATAAATACCTAATCTATCATATTTGATGCAAAATTTCACAAAATTTTATTAAGTTAACATATCTTATATTATTAGAGAGTCTTATTTATAATATTCTAAAGAATATATTTATAAATTTTTATAAGTTTTAGATATTTCATTATTAAAATATAGATAAAAATATTTATTATTATTCTTTTTACTAAGAATTATATACTATATATAGTAATAATTAAAAATAATGTAATATTTAAATTTTTTACTAATTATAATTAGTAAATATATATTTTTTCTTATATATAAAAGTTTTTAATTTTATTAATAAATATTTTTTAGTTTAACATATATTTTTTTCAGAATTTTCAGATTTTTACTAATAACTTGTTTTAATTATATATAAAATTAATTAATTTTTATTAATTAATAATTAGTAAAAATTAATTAATTTTATATATAATTAAAACAAGTTATTAGTAAAAAATCTGAAAACTCTAAAAAAAATATATACAGACAACTCCTCCTAAATACACTCCCTTGGGACCAGTTATAAGAGTGCATTTAGAAAGTGTGTGCATTTAGAAAGTAATGCAAAATGCATTATATGATGTAGTTATGCATCATATTATAATGCTCTGCATCACTATAATTCATGCATTATTATAGTAATATTAATTTTCATATCATTTTTTATTATAATAAAATTAAACAGTCTTAATAAAATAATTATCTATATAAGACTATTGTAATTGACCAATTTTTTTCTCCTTCATGAACTTTTCTAATCTATTCAATAACTTTAATTATTCACTTGTATTCTCCTACTAAAGTAAAAATATTTTAATACTATTCAAATTCTTTAATACTATATTAACTATGATTATCGGAATTTTAACATAATCATTATTATCTGAGCTTTCTTCTGCTAAATTTTCAATTCTAAAAAAGTTTATCAGCTCTTAATCATTCTCAGGGATCTTGTAGATAATATTCTTATCAGAAAGAGTTAAAAATTCATTGATTTCCATTACAGTAGGAAGATCAAGAGTATCAAGTATCTCAACAAGTTTATTAATTACTGGATCATTGGTTCTCTGGGTATCATCTAAAGAATTGATATTAGCAGGAAGAATCTTGATATGGTGTCAAGAGTTATAAATAGTCTCAGTAGATATTTCTCTCCAAACTTTGATTATATACTGAATTGCTTGAAGAATAGTCATCTTCAAGTCTTGAACAAAATGATCCATTTTAACTTGCTCCAACATTCAGCTAAAAACTAATTAGCAAGTGAACTTGGACAAATAATAATAATCAGAATCACTTACTAAAGATGAAAATAATGATATTGCTATTTAAAAGCTATGATTATTCTAGTATCCATTAGCTAGATCTTTGAGATAGTATTTGGTAGAAAAAAATAGATATCAATATGTTAAAGATTCAAGCCCTCTATGCTATGACTTGGATAATTGTCAAGAAGTAAAAGGACATGTTGGTTATTATATTTTACTGCAACTTGATGATTAAATATCCAAAGTCACTCTTGAAAAAGAACTGTAAACATCCAAGTCTTGGGATTACTTCAGTATATCATGACTAAGTTCTGGATCTTTATGTTCTTGAAATATTATGATTTTGCCAACTTGCCAATTATAAGAGAATTTAACTTGTAAGATCCATCAGTATTTATATATAATACAATAGAAAGACGTTCTTTATTTTTTTATGACCAGAAAGATGTCATGTTGCTAGCATTCAATCAGGCTCCAACTAATAAAAAAGCCCATATTATAAATTCAATCAGGTAGATATCTGGAATATTTATCTCATAATATTAGCAAAAATTATGTAATGGTATTTTGGTTTGCGGATACTTCTTTTTCATGAAGTTTCTCTTGATGAATTCCATTGTGATTCTTGAATTTATAGAGTCATCTGGAAGAAAATTACAGTATATCCTTAGGAATTTCTAAATCTTTTGTTAATAATTTTATCTTTTCAATTAATAAAGCATCACTTAAGATCATTTACTCTTGATATATTAATATAAATTTCTTGAAGATTAATTCGAGTTCTGGGATGGTAATAGATTTATGATATTTTGCTTCTTGATTTATAACTTTTGTTATTAGTTACTTCTCTTTAGATTAGAGAATCCAGATAATCATTAACTTATTAATCGTAATATTCTACTTTTGTTAGATCTATTTTATATATTCATCACAGATTTTTTTATCATTATTATGAGTATAAAGGTACACTTCATATTTTTGGGTGTCAGTTAGAGTTATTTTTTTTTGGATGGTATTGATAATGGATAAATAATTTTTAGTTGTTTTGAAGTAAAATGAATTTGGACAGATAATAAGAAGGTGAGAGAAAAAAGAAGAGAATTCACTTTATAATAGATCAGGATATAGTGATGCAACCAGAATAAAATTTTTTACAGACTCTTAAATGTAACATAAACAAATCTGTTATGCTTGATATAGTGAGTGTCACAAAATATAAATCAAAAAAATTTTTTTTATGAACAAGTGTGCTATTTTATAATAATTTAACTTTTCAATTAATAACATAATGACAAACTTTTAATCAAAGTCTGCATTATTATTATTATTTGATTAATGATATAATAATACAGTCTCAGAATAATGATAATTATAATGCAGACTTTTTTTGATCAATCAAAATCTGTATTAATTAATATAATTTTCATTAGGTACATGTGATTTTTAATCATGTGCCATGCATTTACAGAGAGATGTCAAATATAATGAGACTTAAAAATTGTTATACATATAGAATATGAAGGGTGTGCATTTAGCACTATAATTCTGACTTGGAGCCAGATTAAAGAGTGCATTTAGAGAGGGTATGCATTTATAGAGAGTGCATTTAAGAAGGATTATCTGTATTTTTTTCAGATTTTTTAGATTTTTTCTGAAAAAGTTGCTTTAATTGTAAGTTAATGCAAAAATTTTTATTAATTAAAAATGAAATTTAATTAATAAAAATTTTTATACTAATTTTACAATTAAAGCAACTCTTTCAGAAAAAATCTAAAAAATCTGAAAAAAATATATATTAAATTTTAACTAATAAACTTTATTTTAATATAAAAATAAAAATTATTTATTATTAAAATTATAAATTTTAATATAGAAAAAATTTTAATTTTCATTATATTTTATTAGTAAATTTAGCTTCTGAATTATTATTTTTAATTATTACTATATTAATATATAATAATTAATATAAAAAATAATAATATAAATTAATTATAAAATATATAATAATATAATATAAAATAATAAATTAATATATAAAATTAATATAAAAAATAATAATATAAAAGATTTAAAAATTATTTTAAAATTAATTTTTTTATTTTATTAAATTAATATTATTAAACTATTTTAATTAATATAATTTTATTAATTTTTTTAATATATTTAATTAGTTTAATTTTTATAAATTAATTAATATAATTTAATTATTATTTAAAAATATCTATTAATAATATAATTTTATTATAATTTAATAAAATATTATCTAATAAAAATATAAATATAAAATAATTAATAAGTTAATAAATATATATTATCTAATAAAATATATAAAAAATTAATATAATAATAATATTTATTAAATTTTAAATTTTAGAATATAAATAGATATATTTATAATTCAAATTTTAATTATAATAATAATAATAATAATAAAATAAATAATTTAATTAAAATATTTTTGATAATTATAATATAAAATATTATTATAATTTAAAGAATAGAAAAAAATATATAAATTTAATTTAATTTATATATATTGATTTCTTTAATAAAACTAAAAATTTTATTATATAATATAATAAAATTAATAATTCTAAATTATATATTTATATAAGAGAAGAATTATTTATTAAATAATATTTATTATAATTATAATTAATAAATATGCTTTTATTTATCTGATAAATAATATTTCTTTAATAACATATATATATATATAATAATAAATTATTTTTTATGAACTCTATATTATAATATCCTAGTCATGGCAAAAAAAGTTATGAATCATGTGATTTTTAGGGATAAACCAATCAAATAGCAAGATTATTGTGTAATAAAAAAATTCAAGAACTGAAAAATAGCTTTTATCTTGAAATTTCGCCTATGAAACTACTTTTGTGTTCAAACAAAAAATATTTCTTGCGAAATTTTACTTGTGCGCGCAATATACAATATGATCTTAACTCTGACTCTAACCTATAAACGCTATTAAATTTCATATTTTACGATTTGATTGGTTTACCTCTAAAAATCACATGATCCGTAACTTTTTTTCGTCATGGCTAGGGTTTTATCCATACTCATTTAATAAATATTAAATTTCGGGTAAACTTTATTGTAATTAAACAATACATGTATTACGAAATAATTTATGAAGTTCTTAACAGAAGTTATGTAATTTTACGATTGCAATATAGAGTCAATAATACCATCTAACCAAAATTCAGATCCTCCTTTAACATATCAAGCCAGTATTCGTCATGTGCTTTCATAAGGAGAGCTCCAGGTCTTGCACCATCAGACCAAGGTATTTCACTCATTTCAAGAAGGTACGTATCTAGATTATGTGTTCCACACCAATCGAATTCCATAAGCATTCCTTTACATCCTTTATATCCTTTATACTGGTTCTGCGATTCAACCACCAGGATATTCAGACGGCGAAGATCAGCAAACACAATGTTTTGATCATGCAGGGCCTTTATTGCTTGTTTTAAAGACGTGCTTACAATCTTGACTTTCCATGGTGCTGATTTTTTCTTTTGTCAACGAGACACCATTGATATAATCCATAACAATCATCTTGGAACTCGTTTAACATCACCACAGTATAGCAAATTTGGTGGACTTGATATGTAATAGTATAAGGGAAATAACGCTGGCCATTTGGTGATTCATCTAACGATAAAAATATTTAAGCCGATCCTTTAAGCCGATCCATTGCAAGTCTAAGTGTTTCTAGGAATCGAGCAATTTTTTCACATGATCATCTCGCAATTTTGGTATTAGAGAAACAAAGTCCGTTAATGGCTCAATTACGATCTTATCAATGTAAATACCTCCAAGAATGCAAACTCATGGGCCAGCAATAACCATTATAAATGAGGGAACACCGCATCTCTCTCGAATTTTTGGGACTATTTGTAAAAAAACATTAAAACGGATAAAACAAATCTAAACAAAACCATTGAATAAATAATGCAAGCTAGCCTGCAAAGCGAGTTAAGCTTGAGTCCCGTCTAATTCCTTTTTTACTTCCCATATCAATCGATAAGCCATTTGATCATGAATAGTCGTTAACCAGATGCCATCTGCCCTGTTATTATTGCCATATAAAAAGGGTGTTAAGGGTTCATCAACAATCCTTGCGAGCTCTCTTTCCATAGCCAACTTACGAGAAGATTCATCGTTAGAAAACTGTGATTTAGTGGCCAAGACCCCTTTACATTGTAAAGTACTGGCAGTTCCTTTCCCTACACCATATCGTCCATCCATCTACCTATTTGATCTACAGTAGAACTATTACAACGGATGTTTTCTATTATAAAAATTTTTAATTGTTGCTAATACGCCCACCAAGATCTTGGATACGTACAGCTGCCCTATTACATATATCATCAAAATTGAGGTTTCTGCGAGCGGAAAAATTCTGATATAAAACGGAAATTTTGAAAAAACGGAATAAATCGGAATATAAGGGAATTTTTATAGATGTACTACAAAAATGGTTTTATAAATTGTTGAATAATTATCCCTGTTTCATTTGTACAAAATTATTATGTTCATTTATGAAAAATGTTTCCTAAGAAAAACGAATAACTGCATATAGTCAGTCACTCACAAGATTTTTCTGAAGATTTTTGGAAATGAATTGCTAATTAAATAACAATCTTATAGAATCACCCTTTCAGATTAATTATTTATATCAGAAGAAATTCAGAGAATATTAGAAGCAAATATAATCCAATTATCAACTAGTTCTTGAACTTCACCTATTATTATAATTTTCAAAAAGTTATTACATGTATGTCAGTTTGTAGTCATTCAGCAAGCCATAGAAAATTAAAAGAAAATCATAGTCTTATACAAATAACACAACAAACGTTAAACTCATAATGTATCGACAAGAATGGACCGTTTAATTGAAATAAACTTGATCTTTGGAACAAAATTTCATATCAATTAGTGAAACAGATATCAAATTTATTTAGTTACCAATTTCATCATGTAGTGTTAGTGATTATAGGCAAAATCTTTGTAAAGAATCTTTTCGTGCACTTACGATTATATATTATAATAAGATTTTTCCGTGTCCCTGGTTATAATTAAGCTTAGAATTGGGAAAAAGAAAATTGTCTCCCCGATATTTTTAATACTGCTCCAAGATAGATTCTGATGTGTTTTCAATATTTTTCTTTGCGCCGGTTGTATTTTATCAAAAATTCGCGAATTCTTATTGGTCTGTGAAGCACATGTGATCAGGAACCAGCACAGAATATAATTACGCTAAAGAAAGAGAAACTATGCATAAACCAAGCTTGCA